TTTTTTTTTTTTTTTTTTTTTTTTTTTTTTTGATTTTCTCTATAAATTTGATTTTCCTTCAGTACCAGGAAAATGTTGCTGACATGAACGGATGCTGGAGAATGCAGGGCAGGAAAGGTTTATTAGCTGGACTTCAGCAAGAAAATCGGCAAATTTTACAGCTGCAGCAGGAGAACAGGTGCTTTTTTACTGTGTTTTCGGAAGCTGTTTCCAACCTTAAGGTATTCTGTGTTTCAGCCATTGAGTTGAATGGTGATATCAAATTCGCTTTTTTTTTTTTTTAACAAGTGGTATCAGGTTTTCCGGTAAAAACAAGTTTCAGAGAGCTACGGCAAACTTTGAAGGATTACGAGCAGACGCTGGAGGCTGTTATGAGTAAACACAGGATGTTAACTGCTTGCTTTCTACGGCAGCCAGTTACTCCTGTACCAACTCCTGATTCGGTTCGTCAGAAGTTTTGACACTTCTGCTTATGTGAGAAAGGATTGTAGGATAATGAAGACAGTGAAGAAAGTCTGGACTTCACTTTTCCTTTTTATCTGAAAATGTGTCGGATTAAGTTTGATAGTTAAGTTTGATAGGACTAAGGTGTTTTTAACGTATAAGAGTTTTTATTCGTTTGAACAAATGTATTTGAAGCAGAGTCAGGTTTATGGACCTAAAGAGTCACCGAAATCGGAACGCATGGTTCGTTTCGTGCAAGTGCTAAATGAGTGTTTTACGAAGGGGGAACGGATGTCTAATCGGGATCAAGAAGTTAGCTTTACGAAAATTGTGTCATTTTTTTATTTCTTACAGATGCGGATTTTATAATGCTAATTTAATCTTTGTTTTGGTCGCTAGTCTTAAATAAACAGGTGCTGCTTTTTCATCGTTCCATTAGAACTTGGTTATTTTGTGGACAGTTTTGGGTGGGTTTTAGATTATTGCAAGGCTCTCAACGGAAAATGCTTGTTTGCGAGATTTACTTAATATTGCCTCCTGCAATGAACCCTCACTTACTCGAAGGTTCCTGCAACAATCGGGTGTAGGTTCGGAGGCATCGGCTGATGCGACGATGTTGAAGAATTCAGAGTCTGATGTAACTATATTAAGAAACCCATTAGAGTTAGAACAAGAAAGTATGTATTATTTGTTAATGACAATTTTTAAATCAAGGCTCGATTTGACGAAATTGAATTGTAATTTTTATTTACATTTATCGGATTATTTCTTTTTATTTTTTGTTGTTTTACATTTGTTTCGAACACTGAATCTGAAGATTTTTACTTATTACATTCTATATATGTAGGTAAAGGGTTAACTTTGCCTTTCAAACAGAGTGCTGAATTAGGGCTGGTAAATGGCGCTGCGGATAGTAATGCAGACGGTAACCATTTTTTTTATCATTTTGTCAGCTTTCTATTTTTTTTGAAATTTTTTTTGTAAAACTTTCAGTATTCACTTTTCGTTTCAAGAAAAATGTGTGCTTTGAAGCATTTTTGTTAAATTTATTTTTTCTTTAGCTTCTTTAGATGCAGCTTTTAATGGTAAGTTGGATGGTGGAAACTTGCGGAAGTAAACTGAAACATCAGCAGGGTGGGATTTATCGGGAAACCTCACTCTAGATGTTTCCCTAAAATCGTGGTTTAGCAGCAACTCACTCTTTTGGCTTTCGTGTTGCAATTTCGACTGTTCAGTGAAACATGTGGTAGTGATAAGGTAACTTCTTATTTCGCGACAAAGTTTAGCGGAATGGGTTCTGGAAAATGGTATAATAATTATTCTTGCTCTGCTCTGGTTTGGGTAAGGGATGTTTGTGTATATCACAAGTTGTTTTTTCGCTGTTCTTGTTTACCGTATTATTTTGTTGTATTTTTTTGTTTCAGTCGCGGGTACTCTTGTGCAGATTTCTTATTTTTACTACATTGTTTAAAAGACCATTTTTAATTTCACTGAGTTTTATTGTGATATTTAGGAAGAAACAATTATTTATTTGAAAATTACTCCTTGAAGTCAAGGCGATCTTACTTGAAATGTGTTGCAAGAGCAACTTTTTTTGCCTCTTTATTAATGAAACACGATTTGTAACTTGCTCGTTTTGAGATTCCCTGTCATTTCTATTAAGTGTGTGCTTTTAAAGTAGGCAGTCAAGTTGTTTACAGTATTTCTGGTATGTCACTGTTTTCCTTGTCCTTCTATTCACAAAAAAGGAAATACTTTATGATTGTTGAGAAACTATTTTATATTAAAAAAAAAACTTATTTCTGTTTACTTGTGGGAAGATGGAGGTTTCTTCATTTTTGCTGATGGTTCCTGAATTGTTGTGCTGCACAAATGAATACTTAATCTTGAATGCATATTTTTTTTTTCTGAGTTAGGACAATGGAAGTGTCTGTCATTATGAAAATGTTAGTCAAAGCTGAGTGTTGTATTCCGAGTGTTCTGCATTGCATCAAGATGGAGTTTTTCCGGAATTATTCGTTGTTTTTTTCCTCATGTTCAACTTATAATGGTTGTCGGTTTCTGGTGTGCGTTTTGTTCGAAAAGAGTTCATAATTTTTTACTTTACAAGCTGGACAGTTTATGAGTGCTGTACAGTACAAAATAAATAATTGCTTCTCATAGTCAACAGGTATAGCGAGAGTTGTATATGTGCGATTTGTGATGGAAATCAAACCTAGGTACGGCTGTTGATTGATGTCATAATAGTTTTGGCTGTCGTGGCAGTTTTTTGTGTTTTGTAGCAATGCTAGTTTTTATGTTACTTTCAAGTAGTTTTTTTGGGTCGTAATGACTTCTGTGTAGTCTTACTTCTAAGAGAGTAGGGGTGTGAGAGAATTACGGAAATGGTGTTAATGCGACGAAGCTTTAGTTTCTAAAGGTTGTCTTCCACAGTTGTGTAATACACAAACGGAGGACGGATACAGTTTGAAACGATTTAACACTTTTTGGGGATGAGGCTTCTTCGATATGTAGTGTTCTTATTTTTTATGGGGGTTATTTTTTAGTATAGTGTAAAAGTACTCATTTGGCTGTAAACGATGTTCCGTTTAACCCCCAGAAGATACTTATTGCTAGTGTTATAACGGCAATACCGCCGGTCGTTCCGACAAGAATACAGGCTGGTTTCCATATGTGGTTTTCGGACATTGCTTGACCTAAGTGAAATGTCTTCTCGACATCTGTTAATTTTTGTCCAATTTTTTTCCATTGGTTCCCTCGCTCTGCTTCAGTATGGTTCAAGTAAGTTTTCACCTGAAATTAGTCTCTTTGAGTTTTAGAACAATGGATGGTAGAATTTGATGAGTTTAAGTTATGTAAGGGGGAAAATAAGATGTCGATTTACTTTTTAGCTTTTAGATCTCGTTTTAATTAATTTATTAATCACCGAAAAAGGAATACAGTTGTGCTATGAATGGTAGGATGTTGGCCAACTTTAATTTTAGAGTGAGACGAGCAGTTTTACAAATTGTGCTATGAAATTTTCGTAATTCACTAACAATAAGTTTATTTGTGTTTAACGGTAACCAGACGTATGATCCGCTGTTGATGAGCAGAAGTTGACAATCACTCGGTGGTTCTTCCATACGTTTCTTTATTTCGATCTTGGCTTCTAGTGGTGGCGGATAAAGTTGTTTATATACAGCAAAACTGGTTGTGTTTTCGAATTCTCGGATAACTTTTAGGTGATAATCTGTTTCGCATCTACAATTAGTCTTCTTTTAGCAGCAGTTATACGTGTCTAGTGAATTCGCTGTTTCTATTCTTGAAGAGCTAAAAAACTAGATGTCTTACTTTCTGTGCTGTCTGAATATTTGCTTTTTGCAAAAGGCTTTGGAAAAGCAAAGAGTAAGATTTGGTTAATTACTAAAAAAGTAATGAGGAGTGAAGTGAGAGGGGACATCTTTGTTACCTTTTACGTTATTATTCTACACCTTACATTATTTAAAGCTATTTTCTGTTTGTCAATGTATGAGAATGCTAGTAATTATAAAGTAGTAAAAAAAACATGAATATTTTTAGCTTTTGTTTTTATCTGTAACTCTTTGATTACATAATTTTCGATGAAACTACAGATATTTTGGAGAAATTTGAAGAGCTGTGGTCTTTCTGAATAAATGAAGATCATTTTTCTTAATTTTAGTTTTCACGCTCAAAATTTGAAAAGTGTTAAATCATTAAGGCATAGTGAGAAAAGACAGATAGAAGGAGTTAGAATTGATTTTGAGACGGACACGTATATTGAACGAAGTTAGCCAAAACTGTTCATTAGGAGCAGTACGGTAAAGCATTGGACAATCTGTTATGATGGAAATGGCTTTTGCGCTGGTACTGGAACTGAATGCTGTAAGATTCAGTTGATCGGGTGGAGTTGGCCAGGACACAATAAATTATACAAAACGAACTAAAAATGCCACCTGCTGAAGGCAGTTACATGAAACTACTTTTTTTGCGGCTAAAAACTATTATCTTGTTATGTACTACCGGTATATTGATATAAAAAAATGTCAGCAGAACTTGTCAACAGTAGCGCTGGCTCTGAATGGTTTATTTTCTTCTGCACTTTTTTTAAAGGTTTGTATGGTTTGTTTAAGTAGGCTAATATTGTACCAAAGTAAGGGCGAAAAATTTATTAACTGATTATTGATGTCTTAGGCTTCTTAAGTTAGCAGACACTTCTTGATTACTGTTGTAGTTATGTTACTGTTAATTTGGTCTAATTTTGGTTAGCGCTGTTTTCGCCAACAAAAAATTAATTTATTTACCAAGTTCTTCTTTGCTTTTTTGAGAATTATATAAAATCTGCTAATCAGAGAGCATTGTCCTGACTTTTTTTAGTCAGAATGACCTTTTTTAGCTTTATTATCAGTGATGGAACCGACATTCTCAATAAGTATTCCTAACTGTTACCTTTTTGCCTTATTTGAAAAAAATTTTTTTAATAGAGAAATTTCAAACATTTGAATTTATTTTCTAACTGTCGTCTCAAATTTCAAGATAAAAGGTGTTAAAAGTCTATGGAGTTTTGTTTCACTCTCTTAAACTATTCTATAGACAGAGCAATCTAATGTTAGTATCGAGGCTGTAACACTTTCCCACTGTTCCTCAACATTTTCAGTTGCCGTTGTTTCTCTACAATGAGGAACTTAAGTTAGATTGAGTGTTTTCTGAAATTTCGAATAATAATTTATTGTATGATATGTAAAGCGGCAGTCAATATTTCAAATGTTGTTTTTGGAAGATTGGTACTGCTTTTGTCGTCATTGGAGAAAGAAAGACAACGAGACTAATACATTTTTTTAGTGAACACCGACACTTTTTATAGGCCAAACGGTATTATTTGTTATGTTTTTGAAGGAACCAATACGATTTTTATCTTTTTTTTCTGTATTTGGCTGATTTGGGAAATTGCGGTAAAAAAACCTCAGTACTCAAATTTCTTTTATTTTGAAAATATTCTTCAAATATCTCTTGATAGTTCTATTATCAGTTTTGTCGTCATAATTGCTACTAACAGTAAACGAAAAGGATTTAACGGAAAATTTCATGTTGGAAGAAAGAAATTGCTAATTTTAAAGATCAAAAAAAAAAAAACGCATTTTGCAAAGTAAAGACAACACTATTGTGTGATAATCTAATGAATAGAAGTTGAAAATATACCTTTTGTTATAGAAGATGACCAAACTGTTTGTGGTTGGACTGTTTAGTAGGTCTTCGAAATCAGATGCATTTACAAATTCTAATGGCAGACTATGCTGTCGACGTATAAAATTCCAGAATTCTACCTAATAACGATTGATATAAATTTTTCTTTGCAAACACAGTTTATTTTGTTTTCTTTTATTTTTTAAATTTATCAGTATAGAGTAATTTTTTTGATAGAGATAAAATAAGGCAACTAAAACGACCATTAATTTTCTGCGGAAATTACAGAAAGCCGATTAGAATGTTACATCAGTTTGGCAGGAATAAAACATTAATTTTGTACTAATTAATAGGAACCTAAAAAACGATGACTCGATTAAGGATTGTAACAACAATGAAATTACCACTACTACCATCACCATTAAGTGCAATAACGGTAATAATGGTGATGTAAGGTGGTTTTGATCAGTTGTATAATTTTACCTTTTTGTTCGTGTCACCATCGTAACAGATGCACGGCTTGTTAGCTGTTTTAACCTTTTCATCTGTGTTGTTCATATATAATTCCACAGCAATACCACTATCACTGCTATTGCATCCACAGTGTGTACCGCTTAGTTTTCTTGTCCGGTATCGATAAGGTGATCTCATAAATTCTTTGCTGTGAATCAGTTCTTTAGTCCATTTTTTAATCTTAACAAGTTTATACATTGGTTATCTGTCGTTTAACAGGCTATTGATTCAATTGCACACATCTTAGTAAGATGGATAAAATTATTCGGCTGAGATAAATTATCTTAAGACTTGTACGACTTATCAACTAGAAAGTCTTATGACATAAGGAAATTATGTATTGATTATTATGGTGACTAATTTTGAGGAAAGAAAGGAAAAAAATGTGATTTCAAATATAGTGACCGTTATTTAAAATGGTCACAGTTATTTGAAGATCTTTCTTAGCAGTAAAAGAGCTAATTGCAATAGATTTAACAATTATAACTGTTGTCTAGTACAATATCTGTGTATATCCACGGCTAAGAAATAGCTAAAAAAAACAATTATAAATTTTATTTTCAGTCTTCAAGTAACCAATTAAAAACAGTATTATAGGCGAATGTCAGAAAACTAGCTGACACATCTGTTTCTCATATAAAAAAGTTTTAAACTGAATTGAAAGTGGGATTTTTTAGAGCAACAACATTTGGATAAATTTTGGGAGAAAATTTTATTGTTTTGGTAGTATTATTTTGCAACATAATTATCGTTATATTTTTAGTTTTTGATCGCTAGAGTGTCACTTTAAAACTATGTAATATCTGGTGGTATCTGAAAAATAAACCTGAAAACAGGAAACCATTAAGTGTTTATGCAGTTTTAGCAGTCAATCGAAAAACTTATTGACTGTAAGTCTTTATTGGCAATACACTCAAAGATACTAGCTAAACGACGTTATACTTAAATATAAAGCCTAATAAGTGTTTTTTTTTTGTAAACTAAAAGAACCAACCTGGTTGTACCTTTTTTCATTGACTTCTGAATGTGTTAAGTGGACGTGAATTTGCCAAATAATCCCTTTATTATTCTGCTGTAAAGGCAGATTCTCGGCCACGTTTCCTCGAGCAGAAAAAATTTCGTCAGCAACGATAGCATCTTTCTGTTGTCGTAAAATACTAGTACCATGTTGATCTGGTGCTACCATTGTACTTACAACATTTTGGCTACCTTGACTGTCTTGACGGTATCGAGAAAAATGATGTTGTTGGGGGGTAAAAATATGATGACCTTCCTCAACTGGATCGGGAACAGTTTGGTCATTTTGATCATCAAGAAATGTATCAGCTGTTTTGACTTTAACGTCAATCGGTACAATCAGGTTTGCTGCATTGTCGGATTGCTGATGAAATTTAGCAGCAACGATCAAATATGTAAAAAAGTTGAAATAAAAAAATATTAAGATTGCTGTTTTCGTCATTACTGCTGCTGTTATTTTTGTTGTTTGTATTAGATGTTATAGACTTCAGGAAACATAGCAAAGAAGTATTTCAGAGTGATCCGATGTTTCCGTGGTCACTTTTTCATTGGTGGAATTTGATGAAAAAAAGTGTAAAAGATTGAACTGAGTGAATAGGAGATGGGTAAGTGAAATGGAGTAAGAGTTAACAAAGAAAAACAAATGCAGGAAATACAAATTGAAGGAGAGGGCAGAAAAAAACTCTTGTTGTTTGTTGTTGTCGTTGTTGAATGTATGAATGAATTAAGCGATCCAACCAGGTAAAATCGATAGCACAGTTATAGCTTGTTGATAGTTTTTCACCAAGAGAAGGCTTTAAAACAGCAAACGTACCCAGCCGGCAAAATTAGAGTGCAACTTGTGCAAAACTGATGATGATGATAATACTCCATAGCACTTATTTTTTCCTCACAAAAACCCTGTGGACATATGCTCGATGCAGTCCTATCCTTTTGGCCTATTCTGCTCTGATACTGTTCCATTATATTTGTTATTACTGCTGCTGTTCCTGTTGGTGCTCGTGTTATATTTAAACAGGAGGAACAACAGAAACAGCGGTGGAGAGATTAACAACAGCAGCAACAATAGCAGCAGCAACAGCAGCAGCGCCAGCAACAACAACAACAGCAACAGCAACAAGAACAACAATAACGACATTGAAAATAACCAAGCAGTATAGG